AAATACATGTAAGCTCCATTATCCATTTTTGTGTATGTGTGTTTATTCATCTATTTATTTTTCATCCTGGTCTCAGCCTGTGCTCTATCCTCCTATCCCAGGTATCCCAATCTCCTCTCCTTCTGTCTCCATCTGGGAAAGGGCAGGTCTCTCACGAGTATCAATAAAACATGGCATATCAAGGTACAGGAAGACTAAACACCTCAGAGTTATTTTGATTTGCATTTCCCTAATGGCTAAGGGTGTTGAGCTCTTTCTTAAGTGTCTCTCAACCATTTTAGACTCCATTATTTAGAACTCCCTATTTAGTTCTGTACACCACTTTTTAATAAGATCCTTTGGTGTTTTGGAGTCTTTCTCCTTGAGCTCTTTGTAAATTTTGGAGATCAGCCCTCTGACAGATGTGGGGTTTCTGAATCTCTTTTCCCATTCTGTGGGCTGCCTTTTTGTCTTTTTGCCTCTGTTCTTTGCCTTACATGAGCTTCTCAATTTCAGGAGGTCCCATTTATTAACTGTCGATCTCAGTGTCTGTGCTACTGCTGTTATGTTCTGGAAGCGCTCTCCTGTACCAATTTTTCAAGGGTACCTTCTACTTTCTCTTCTAAGAGGTTCAGTGTTCCTACACATATGTTTGATCCATTTGGACTTAAGTTTTGTGCATGGTGATAGACATGGATTTATCTGCAGTTTTCTACATGCCAGAATCCAGTTATGCCAGCACCAATTTTTTAAGATGTTTTCTTTTTTCCATTGTATAATTTTAGCTTCTTTGCCAAAAATCAAGGGTTCGTAGGTGTATGGGCTAATATCAGTGTTTTCAATTGATTCCATTGTCTATTTTTATGCCAATACCAAGCTGTTTCCGGGACTATAGCTGTATAATAGAGCTTGAAGTCAGGGATGGTGATGCCTCTGGAAGCTCCTTTATTGTTCAGGGTTGTTTTGGCTATCCTAGGTCTTTTGTTTTTCTACATCAAGGTGATCATTGTTCTTTCAAGGTCTGTGAAGAGCTGTGCCGGTATTAATGGGGATTGCGTACCATCTCACTCCTGTCAGAATGGCTAAAATCAAAAACACCAATGACAGTTTATGCTGGAGAGAATGCTGAGAAGGGGAACACTCCTCCACTGCTGGGAGTGCCAACTGGTACAGTCACTTTGGAAAACAGTATGGAGATTCCACAGGACAATGGGAATCATTCTACCACAAGATCCAGCAATTCCACTCTTAGGTATATACCCAAAGGTGCACATTTATACAACAAGGATGTCTGTTCCACTATGTTCATAGCAGCATCATTTGTAATAGTCAGAAACTGGAAGCAAGCTAGATGCCCCTCAAGTGAAGAGTGGATAGAGAAAGTGTGGTACATTTACACAATGTAGTGCTACTCAATGGAAATAAACAATGGAATCTTGAAATTTTCAGGCAAATGGTTGGCACTAGAAAAACCATCCTGAGTGAGGTAATCCAGTTACAAAAAGAGAAATATAGTATGTACTCTCTCATTTATGGATTTTAGGCATGAAGCAGGGGAGTGCCAGCCTACAATCCCATTGCCAGAGGTTCTGGGATACAGGGAGGATCCTAAGAGAGATATGCTTGGCACCCCAGAGAAGGGGAATAAGACAGGATCTCCTGAGTGGACTGGGAGCATGGGAGGAGAGGAGAGTGTGCTGGGGGATAAGTGAGGGGGGGAGAAGAGAAGTGGAGAGGAGGACATGGGGGATCAAGAAGGTTGAGTTGGGGGAAGAAAAGTAGAAATCAGGATAAGAGACATCATAATAGAGGGAGTCATTATAGGTTTGAGGAGAGATCTGGCACTAGTGAGAGTTCCAGAAATCTACAAAGATGACACGAACTGGAAATCTAAGCAATAGTGGAGAGACTACCTTAAATGCCACCCCCACCCCCCCATAATGAGATATGCCATCCTAGCGCCTTCATCCAGTGGCTGATGGAAGCAGAGGGAGACACCCACCCACAGCTAAACACTGTACCAAACTTCTGCACCCCAGCTGCAGAGAGAGGAGTCATGAGCAAAGGGGTCAAAACCGGGCTGGTGAAACCCACAGAAACAGCTGATCTGAACAAGGGAGGCTCACGGAAACCAGACTGATGGCTGACAGTCCCAGTATGGGACTGATCAAGACACCCTGATCGTGGGTGTCAGTGAGGAAGCCTCCGCATTCTTTGGGGCCTCAGGTAGTAGATTAGAATTTATCCCTGGCATCCAAATGGACTTTGGGAGCCCATTCCACATACAGGGATGCTCTCTCAGTCTGGACACACAGGGGAGGGCCTAGGCTCTGCCCCCATGAAGGGCCTCAACCTCTCTGGAGAGTGGAGTGGTGATTGGGTGGGGGGTTTCCAGGATTGGAGGGTGGCAGTGGAAGACAGGAGGCAGAGGGATCTGGGATTGACATGTGAGGCAAGCTTGTTTGTAATTTAAATAAGACTAAACACCTCCCCTTATATTGAGGCTGGGCAAGGCAACCCAGTATGACAAGTAGGTCTCAAAACTCAATAAAAGAGTCAGAGACAGCCCTTGTTCCTGCTGTTAGGAGTCCCACAAGAGGACCAAGCTGCACAACTGTGACATAAGCAGAGGTCCTAGGTCAGACCACACAGACTCCCTTGTCCATTCAGGCTCTGTGAGCTCCTATGAGCCCACATTTGTTGATTGTGTGAGCCTTCCTGTGGATTCTTGATCTTGGCAGCATACTAAAATTCTTCTCGAAACCTCGTGAGACAGGCCCCTCAGTTCAAATCTGCCAGGTTCCTATTAGTATGGCCCATTACTCAATGCTTAAAGCTCTGCACTGCAATTCTAACTCAAAGTACCGAAGCCCAATCCTCTAAACAAAAACACAGTAAAGCATATGAAAATAACACCCCACTCATGGTACCAACTTCTGTCTTAGTTAGGGCTTCTGTTGCTGTGAAGAGACACCAGGATGGCAACAGCTTTGATAAAGGAAAATATTTAATTTGAATAGCTTACAGTTTAAGAGGTTTAGTCCAATGGTCTCATGGCAGGAGACATGTTGGCATACAGGTTGGCATGGTACTGGTGAAGGATCTGAGATTTCTATATCCTGATCATAAAACAACTGGAATAGCTTGAGAAAAGGAGACCTTGAAGCTGATCCCTACAGTGACTTACTTCTCCTAACAAGGCCAAACCTCCTCCAAAAAAGCCACACCTCTTAGTAGTGTCACTCCCTATGAGCTTCTGCTAGACAGTTACATCTAAATGACCATAAATAGTAAGATATAGGGTTGGGGACTGTATGTTTGAGTTGGAGGGAAGAATTAACTCTGATGAAGAAAGTATAAAGAAGCCACATGGAAATCCAGGTGTGCACATCTGTGAAACAGCAGCATCACTGTTCTAAGAGGAACCAATTGTCTTCTGATCATTTCAAGACCCACACCGTGGGCTGCATGAGACCCATGCCTGCTGCTGTAAGCCTGGCTAATAACCTACAGGGAGTCACTGGGTCCATGTTGGAGAGCATTTCTGATGGTTTACTGAACTGACAGAGCAGCAAACTGACTTCCAAAAATGTATGCTTTCCTTCATTGACAAAAGAGGCCCCAGGACTAATCAGAGACACTTGTCCTAACAATGAGTCACGGTGAATGCAGAGAATTATTGCTACCTTTGATGCATTACTAAGTTATGTATGGTTGAGAGTCCATCCACAATCCAGTCACTTATGCCATCCCCTCTAAGGCTTAGAGAACATTATGGAAAAGGTTGTGGAAAGTATGTAAGATCTGGAGGTAGGGTGAAGAGTTGCAAAATTCCTCTCTCTGGACTTGATACTGTTATTGCAGCCATTGGTTCATGCCAACCTTAGTTCCCAGCACTGGGCCCACATGAGACCACCCCTATCACCAATTAGTCTAGAATTGGGAGGGGCTTGCAGGGCCCATTCTTTACCTCTGAACTATTAGCTATTGATAGGTACTCGGAGAGGAGGTAATCTCTGTCTTGAGTTGTATATCCACTGCTGAGTCTTCCAGGCTCCAAAAGATAGATCCAAACCCACAGTTACACAGCGGGTTTTGTTAATCCCAGAGGGTCACAAAACTAAATTCATAGATATAAACCCTAGAGAGATTTGTGAGGAGAGCCTTGGGTGTATAGGGTTGTTAGGGAGCTACTTGGCAATGAGGATGTTTAATAAGCCTAGAGAACATCAGAGAAATTGTACAACAAAGAAAGTATCATACTACTGTCTATGACTAGGGGCACAAGTTGAATGAGACAGTAGTTATTTAGTGCATGCTTGTGATTCAGCTCACACCAGAACTCTGGGGCATCACACAACACAGGCACACACACTCACACACTCACACACACACACTCACACACTCACACACACACACACACACACACACACACACACTCACACACACACACTGGAGAAGTGCTGAGCTGGCCTTGCTTCAGTGGAAGTGATCCTTCAGGTCTAGGCACAAACACTTGATCCTATTCTAAAGTTCCTGATATAGGGGATGGAGCTGTCATGTGTCATCTCCTGCATCCCTTTGGACAAGGTAAAGAGAGGAGGGCAGAGCTCTGAGATGAAATGACAGCTGGGTAGGGAGGCCTTGGGGCGCTGGACCAGGAACTCTGGGAGGGGCCTCAGAGAACAGTTGACTTACTAGAATCATAGAAATCCCTTAGAGGAATGGGTAGATAGGGAAATGAGGGCTTTGAACTTTCCATCCTTTTGTAGTCTGTTACATTTGAAGAAGAATTTGGAAAGTAAGTCAGCATTCTTCTCAGACTAAGTCAGTTCTCTAGGACTGACAGTACAAGGTGTACTTGTGTGCTGAGAGGATGGGATCATGTGTACAGGTGAAGATGTGCAGGTTTAGTGAGAAGCATCTGAAGATAGCGACCATGACATGAGGGGAGGATGAAGAAGAAGCTGGTGCACAAAATACTTTACCTATGCATTTGCTAAGTAGAACAATGCCAGCTCTTTAATGAAGACAGATGTCTTTATTAAGATTCCGATAGCTGTACCCCATGATGCTGGACACTGGCCCAGACTCAGGGCTTGACTTCTAGGGTTTTTGAAGGACTTTTATTGTTTTCTGAATCCAAGGTAAAAAGCTTGAGATTCTGGTGAAAACCCGTGGAGGTTTCTTGGTACAAAAGTGATAACTGACAATGCCCTGGGCCACACCGTGACACACAAAGGGTCCCCCGGAATCTCCCTGTGGACAGAAAAATGGTAAGTCTCAGTAAACATCATAACCTCTTGCAGGACTCATTTTCTCCCCATTCTTCTCTGTTCCTACTACTCTTCTCTGTTCCCAGTGAAGCCTGAATTTCCATATGGAAAGGCTAGCTGCCATCATTGACCTGTGTTCAAGATGCAGTGGAGGTCAATGAACTCTGTGACCTCTACCTACAGTGTCTGTGCCTGATGTGTCCTTTCCTCAGTCTCAGCAGACTTTGCTCTCCTATTTTCCCACAGTGAAAGGGCAGGGAAAATGGTGGATCTTTGTAAGTTGATCCCCACATAAACGCTAGACTAGCAGTAGTGGAACAATGGGAGAAGGCCTGACTGTGTCTGCATTACAGCCCTGTCCCAGGAAAACATGTGAAGGTGGCCATGTCCTTACACCAGCAGTAGCATTCTTCTTCTCGGGATTTCCCACACAGAGCTGGATGGAGTTGTTGTAGGTTTTGGACATTTCTTGGCACTTCTTGCTTTCTTGAACTTCTAGCTTCGCTTCCCGCAGTTTGTTAGGCATTTGACAATTTTCCTTTTTTTCCCCAGCCTGCCACTGTGCACTCCTGCCCAGGTTTCACCCAGTCATTGCTCTTTGGAAGGGCAATGGTCTTCACAGCGTTATTGATTTGAGCTTTGTGTTTCAGCTGGTCAGAAAGATGAAGAAGAAAGATGCAGGTCTGGCATCTCAGTAAGCTTAAACCACAGATGAGGCTGACTGTACCTTCCCCAAATACAAAGCCCCCAAAGTCCCATTCTGTTACCCTGGGACGATAGACCCACCACTCAGAGAGAGGACTGGACTGATACACTAGCAATCTGTGGAGTGCTGCAAAGTAATCAGAAAAATGGTACCTTCAGTAGCATGATGTCATTGATCAGCTTTTATTGTTATAGCCCTCATGGGGGATGGCGTCAATAACAGGAATGGTCTGGGTGTTATTCTTTTTCTTGATATTGTGAGCACCCAAGGTTACAATTATTTTCCTGTGAAAATAAAATGGATTAAGTACAACATGGAAGCAGTATATCATACTTGGAAATGCAGGTGGAGGGCTCAGCCTAAGGCAGAGCTTGGCTGAGTCAAATAGCAAGAAATTCATGAGGAGGATTTTGTTTTAGGGCTTTAGAAATGTCCCCAATCATTCTGATCCTTCACTGACACCATCAGGTCCTATGTCCTGCAATCAGATCAGGTCAAATAGTATAAAGTGAGGTTGATCTTCACTTTGTTCTACGTTTAAGGACAGCCTGTATCTATTGTTATTGGTCAGTTCCAGGCTACAAAGACTCTGTTTCTTCTCCTTACCTTGAATAACAGTGAGCTGCTGTCATTACGATGTCTTTTTGCACCAGGAAGCCACCACATCGAGAGCGTGATTTGTTTCTATAAATCCTTAAGAATGCCATGTAGGGATGGGAGTGGGGTTTGGCCTCTGTACCCCAAAAGATTTGTCCTAGAGGAGAAAATTTATTCTGAACCTCTGTTCTCATGGAAACTGTGCAACAAACCTGGATACTGGAATAAGGGACATTTCATGACAGAAAAGTATGTGGACTTGACATGGATGAAGGGTCCTTGGCTTTTGTGTGTGATCACACAGGGTTTGAGGCATGAATTCACTTTTTCCCTAGTTTTAAGTTTCTTCTTGTACTAATGCTGGAATCAAGTTTTTACCTGACTCAGTTAAACCTCATGTATCCAAATAGGAAGAATTCAGCATACATTGTCCAGAAAACCTAGAACACATCCTGTCAGCAACCACTGCTTTAACTTGGGCCCTGCTCACTTAGACTCTGGGCTCTGCCTGACGTTAGCATGAAGCCCTTGGGGTAGAAAAGTCTGTCTTCCTTTTCTCTATTCTGATTCATGATATATAGCATGCACACTACTCAGAAACATCAGACTGTTGCACAAACCATGAAAATCCCTCAAATGTGCTATGCCAGTAGCTGGGAGAGGAGTTCCTAATGTAGTCTGGATCTCTGGGTAGGGTTGTCTGCCTACGTCATTGAAAGAGACTTAACACTTAGAAAGAAGAACACAGAAGCTTAGGGATCATAGTGAGATGGGGAGATGGCTTGGAGGATCATGCTTCTATCAAGCTGTAGAGAAGGGATGAAGCCACACTTAGCTGTCTCTGTTAGACTGTGGGCAGTTGTCATGGCAGACCTGTATGATCAGAAGAAGAGAGACAATGCCACGGTGAAGCCTGGAATCCGGAAAAGACAAGTTCTTCTAGTCTCAATCCTCATGTCAGGCATGGGTAAAGCTGCCCGTTTTAGGTTTGGCCATTGGGAACTTTCAGCCTTCATTTTCAACTCGATGTTTCCACTAGGGCCCTATGATAATTTTGTAATTCCTCTCTCTTAGATGACAGATCTCACTTACTAGGTGCCATTACAAGCAGTTCCTTGTGGTTTCAGATCCCATTTATCCAGCGCTGGGCTGGGGCTCAGCAAACTTCTCAGATGAACTGAGTGAGGAGTAGACCTCAGACAGAGCCTGACTGGGACCCTGTGGCAGTGTCAGTTGACACACAGGACTCGAGGAAGGGGAGTGGTTGCTTACCTCCTTCAGTGCTGACTGGCAGGATAGCCACCACCACGATCAGGAGCAGGAACATCTTCAGAGGTCTGAGCTGTCCTCAGTTGTCACCTGTTCATGCTCACACTTTTAAACCTTTAGGTGTGGACAGAGGGCCAGGGCCGGTGGCCACTGATTTCCTGTGTGATATTTAAGATCTGAGTTCTTGCTGCATCTGTGTGGTGAGCATGCAGGAAGCAGTTTTTCAGTCAGTTTCTGGTAAGCATGACCACATTCCCCACAGGCTTGTTGGCCTCTGAGCAGGGTGTATGAGCCTCCTGAGGCCTTCCACATAGAGCAGAGAGGGAGTTCCCTTCTCCTGTCACCGACCCGGGAATTGCAGAATGATGCCTCTGTGTCTTGAAATTGTGATCAGGTGATTATGTCCTTGAGATATACTATCTGTACATCCCCCGTGACTCTCTATGAGGAGCTTAGTTCTATTTTTCCAAGAGCATGAAGACTTTTATTGTACGTTCTAAAGTGCCCTCCTGAGACAATACCCAAGGGAAAAGCTGGGTCACCTTTAACACCTTGAGAGCTTTGGACACTACTGGGGGATGGGGTGAAGAACAAAGATTTAGGATGAGGAGCCAGTGTGATGTTGATGACACTGTCAGGAGGAAATGACAGAATAGGGGAGCTTTGTGGAAAGATTTGACAGACCAGTCCTCGGGATCCCATGCAGTCTCTAAAGACATCTCAAGTGTTTCCATCCTCTCAGCAGCAAAGCAGTAAGTCAGGAGAGGAGCGCTGAGGAGAGAATGAGGGCTGTGGGGTTCCAGCCAAATGTCTGCACTCGCTCCGGTTCCACTGTCAATGCAGTCCTGTCCCTAGGGAAGAAGGTGACATAGGCAAAGGTCTGCTTCTGCTCACTTCTCGGCCTCTGCTGAGGAACCAGTTTGTGTCCCTCTGCCTCCTCTGAGAAGGCAGCTTCTGTGTCTGTCTCCTCTGAGAAGGCAGCTTCTGTGTCTGTCTCTCTGAGGAATCAGCTCTAGTCCCTCCTGCAGTGTGTCTATGCAGGTGCTTTTGAATGTGAAACTCTAGTGCATTTTTCTCAGAAGTCCAGCATACATCTGACATTTGTGCGTGCTTCTCTGGGCCATCTGGTCATTTAGTCTAGACACAGGAGACCTCTGATGTCAGCTGGAAGTAGTCCTCATGTTGACCTCAGATCTGTCACAGCAAAGGTGTTGTAGTCAAACACATTCTCATCTTCATTCCTCCCAGGGGATATGGAAGGGATTAGTTTGCCCTGTTCCTCTGTTAATTTGCATCCTACTCTCTTCAGTTGGTAAATGGTGACCATGTTCAGTAACGAAGAAATAATTCTTAAATATCTCTGTGGTACCATGTATCTGCTAAACCAAATCCTTTGGGGTTTACACATAGAAAGTTAAAGATGCTAGATTACAATGTTGCTTCTGCAGCTGGTTATCATTTAGATGCATCTGGCCCTGCTCTGTCCCAATGCTCACTTCTGATATCTTTCATCTTGGTAGTGCCATCACGTTTTCCTGTAGTTAAACGACTTTCAAGAGACTGGGGCAGGGTCTTGGGCTGGTCTCGTGCCTCACACGTGCTTGAGAGCCCCGTTACCTCAGGGCTTCTTTGGACCAGGGTTCTGCCATTTTCAAGCAGCCACACTGTGAGTGGTCACTGTGGCCTTTGTCAAAGTTGACACCTGTATTGACTAAGGGCTGGGGTGTCTTTCCATGATATTAGACACTATTTGGGGAATGAAGTTGATGACTGGTATGAGGATTTCATTGTTTAATGTGTATCTAATTTAGGACTTTGTGAGTACAAAGTTTTGTTTTCTCCTTATGAAACTGACATCAGAGGTCTCCCTGTGTCTGTACTAAATGAGAAGATTGCCCAGAAGATCTGTGTCAAGTGTCAGGTGGAGTCCGCAGTTGTGAGAAGAAATGCCCTTGAGATTTACATTCAAAATGGGATCAATGTTTGAATGTGGGATAGTCTAAATACATGACTGAGAGGGCCAGAAAGCAATGATCCATGGGATATATATACATACATATATTTATATATACAAACACACACACATGCACATGTAATTGTTCCAGAAGACAATGACAAAGCAGCCACATATGAATGGGATAGTGTATATATACAATGTATGTGGGTGAGAGGTCAAGCAGGCAATACAAATGGGTCAGGAAAACTGCATGAAAGTAATGTGTGAAAAATTCTCATGTTTGATTAAAGAAATCACTGATGTCCTTTAACGAGGCTGTGGACTCTAGGTAGGAGAACCTCAGACAAGCGTGTAGGCCACGCAAGCCCTTTCCACTGTGTCTTCTTCACTCATCCTTTCTGGCCTGGCTCTGTACTGATAATGGCTCTGGGTCCCTGTTACCCACAACTTCTGTTTCTGTGTTACCATCACAGAGGACCATGTGGACTGGAGTCCCAGCTAGTGTATGATATCAGCTACACTCGGAGCCTTCTTCCAACCTGAAAGCTCCAGGGGAGACTGAAGCCTCATCAATACTTTCTCTGAACAGTCCATGGCACAACATCTTTCCTAGGTAACATCTTATTCATTGTGGATTTATAGACTGCCATTGTTGCAAAGTATAGAAAACACAAGTTTGATAATTTTAGCTATTTTCAGAACCACAGCATTGTATAGCTACCAATGACATTCTTCTTAAGATATTTTCACCTGTTTGTATGGAAACACTGAACCTGTATGAACACTGTTGCTTCCCCATCTGCCTCTATTTGTGTCTCTGTCTTCTGTGAGAGCCTGTTGTACAAACACCAGCATCCTGAGCATGATGCTGCCTCATGCTTCATACATGGTTGTTACTTTATTTACCAACCAGACCCTATTAGATACGTCAGGACTATACTGAAGCCTAGAAGATGGAGACAGTCTACAAACTAGAGTGAGAGCTTGGGAGGTGGTGAGGTGATGACAGAAAAGCCTACCTGGATTCTTCTTTACCGTCTGGACCACTAGGAGGAATCTTCCAGGAGGGAGTTTCCTCTTGTGCTCTTCTGAGGTTTTTAAGGCAGACTACAGGCTGTAGATTACCACAACTGTAGATGTTTCAGAAAAAAATCTTGAGAAGCACCTTTTTTGTGTGTAGTCAGAAAGGAATGTCCTCACACTCATATGAGAATAGTCTGAAGTCTTTAACAGACTATGTTATTGTTTCTAAGGAATAAATACACTCACTTAAGGTGAAGTTCCTGCGCTGCTTGGGTTTTTCTTTTGCCTCTTGTGTATGGAAGCCACTACTGCAAACAAAATGTACATGCAGTTGAGATGTTTGTTGCTGTCCTTCCAGAAACCACACTCAAAGCCTTGAGTGTCTACTGAGCTGCTCACTGTGTCTGAGGCCTGTCGTCTTCCTCACTGGTTTACTTTTCTTTTTACCTGGCCACCTAACTCAGCTGGAGGGTATGATAGGAGGTCAACTTAAGGTAAACACCCACAAGAGAGGATCCTGGGAAATGGATGGACTTCCAAGCACATGAAGATGGCTGATGAAGAACTGGAGAGCGAGAGTTTGTTGTGGGGGAAGAGCTGAGTGGCCCTGAAAGGATGGTGACCATGACAGCTGTCCCTCAGTGAGGACTGTCAGTTTGCCCAGTGGCCCTTTCTCCTTTGCTTCCAGAGATGGGAGAGCAGAGGGCAAAGAGTCTTTGTGAACTGATGCTCTTTAGTGCAGAGTGTGCTGTGAAGAACTTCATGAACATTCTTAGATTCGATGCTGAGAATCTTTCGGGGGGAATTCTTTGGTGCAGAGATTACAAATAACCCACCGTCAATATTCATTCAATTAAAGAGTCACACCAACACAGGAATCTCATAGAAATAGTTTATACAATGCTAATATTCTCTGTGGTGTATGGCTGTCTCTAATCCCCAGGGATGAAGGTTTCTAGTCAGTGGAAAGAGAAGCAATAGGCCAGTTGGTTTCACATGAGACATTCTCTTCACATACATACTCTAGCAGAGGGAGCATCCTGAAAACATTTAATTGGAGGAGCATCACCTAAGAGTGCAGACCATTGTAGTTGGGGTTTCTGTATTGCCACATAGCTCTACTTCTGCTATCTGGCTGCCCAGTAATCAAACAGAGACTTATTAATAATTATAAATGATTTGCTGATAGGTTAGGCTTATAACTAACCTATAGTTACACCTTAAATTAATCCATATGGCTTTTACACTATCTACCACATTGTTGTACCATTTGTCAGCATGGCATGTTCATCTCCTGCTTCCTCCAAATCTCCTGGTGACTCCCCATGACTCTGTTCTTCTTACCATCATTCTTTCAGTTTGAGTCTCCTGCCTAACCTCTTCCTACTTAACTCGTGGCCAGTCAACAATTTGTTAACAAATGAAAGCAAAATATCTTTCCCGTGTGCAAAAGGATTATATGAGAGCATTTCTGCTTTTTGTATATTTAAAGGAACATTTTTAGCTTTAACATAGTAAATATATATATATATTTTTACATCTAATTTGTCTTTTATCATAACTAAGAAAAACTTTGAGTTTAACTATTTAGTCCTTAACTCCATCAAGACCACAGCATATTGTAATATTATCTAATTACAGGGCATCTGGCTGCCTGGACAGTCATTCAAAATTCCTCTGCAGCATTGGGGCATTCAGCTTTAGCATACAGGACATGCACATCTGAGAGATATTTTTGACAAGCAGGGAATTTTGAAGGACTGTTCTGCCTTGTCTTGACAAAGTTAAGCAGCTGTTTTCTTTTGATTTCTTCTGATCCAGTTTGGATAGCATACTGTCAGCAGTTGAAGCAAAGGCAGTGTTTTGCCCAAATGGCTGCATTTTGCCATAAAGAAAGCAAACTCCACATGGAGGTTCTTTGATGCCCAACATTTTCTTTAGAAATAAATTGCTGCTGTCAGAAGCAGACAGATGTGCCTCAGTCTCATGAAAAGCTTTAGGATATTACACACCTTAAATGTCATATTCTGTTGGACTTTGAAGTTTTTCAAGACCATATATTTATCTAAATATATCTGTTCATGTCCTCGAAAAGATACCTAACATGAGTACAAGTTTAATCATTATAGATGACTAACTACCAACCTGTATTTCTTAATTATGCATCATATTTTCCTTTTCTTTTTTAATTTAATGTAGAAATGATCTTATTTTACATATCTTTCCCAGTACTCCCTCTCCCCCATCCTCTCATGCCCCGCACTAACATCCATCCCATTCCTTTTCTGCTTCCCAGTAGGGTGAGTCCTTCCATGGTGGATCATCAAAGTCTGTCACATCATTTGGGGCAGGGCCTATGTCTTCCCTGTGTGTCTAGGCTGAGAGAGTAGCCCTCTATGGTGAATGGGATCCCAAAGTTCATTCCTGTACTAGGGATAAATACTGGTCCAAAACAAGAGTCCAATAGATTGCCTGATGGGAGATGTAATTCTGTAAATCTGTCTGTTGTTGGTTGTTGAATAAAGCACTGTTGGGTAATAGGGAAGCAAGATACGTAGTAGGACTAGGAGTTGAGGAGGATTCTGGGAAAGAGAGGCACAGACAGACACAATGTAGGCTGCCAGAGGAGTAAGAGGTCCGGGACCTTTTCTCTGGTAAGAGAAATATTTAGATTAGCAATTATGAGTTAAATACTTAAGTCAGAGCTAGCCAGTAAGAAGCCAAGCAATCGGCCAACAGCTTCATAATATAGTGTCTTGTGTGTTTTTTGGGGGCTAAATTGGCAAGAGAACCCAGGCAGGACTCTCCCAACAATATGGCACCCAACGTGGGGCTTAAGAATTTCCACTTAAACCTTAACAAAGGCTTAAAAAGGGATTTTACAAACAAAAGAACAAAAAAAAAACTCAGTGTTTTGGTAGCAGCATTTTTCTCAGGTGAGCTCCGTTTTGCTAGAGACAAGCAGAGACTACATAGCTCCTTTAAGGGAGGTTTCCTGACTCAACATAAATGGAAAGACCTCATGGCTCTATTAAGAGGCCCTGCTAACAACATAAAAACATAAAGTTTTACAGTAAAGTCAGATTCAGATGCAGTAAACATCTAAAAGGTTTACAGTGTGTTTAAAAATGTACATAGGCTTGTGAGAGAAAAAGAAACAAGATAAACTGGTTAAAAGAATAGAGAGAAATAATGGCTGGGCGATGGTGGCACACATGTTTTTAATACAGCACTTCAGAGGCAGAGACAGGCAGATTTCCACAGAGAAACCCTGTCTCAGAGGAAAAAAAAATAGAATTAAAAGAAGTAGAGTAATAAATAAGCCATGTAAAGATGAAAAATACACAGAGAGTCTGGACACTGTATACTATTGTGTTTTTTCAGTTTTTCGATTGCTAAAGAAGGAACAACTGCTAAAATACACTTTAGTATAAATGCTGCTAAACTAGCCCAACTTATATATTTTAAAAATTCTTTGACTTCTAAATTGAAATATAAGGACAAGTTAATTGGAAAAAGATATTCTATTTGTGTTTCCTCAGAAAATGAAAAGCCATGGATTCCTTCCAGACTAATATAGTTTGATAAAACAAGACCTCCTTATAGGAGGAAAACAATGCCGCCATTAACCATGTGACTTACTAGAGGCACATACAGATGAGGTAATAAAAGAGCAGTTTACCGCACCACTAACCACACCAACTTTAGGCGTGACTAAAGACGTATACGGACGGACATAAAGACGTATACGGACATAGGCGGTGAACTACGTTACTAGCCAGGCCCAGTTTTGGGCTTGGCTAGGGGCGTTACAGGGGAAGGTATAAAAGACTGAACAACGGAAGTCTTGGTCTCTTTTTCCGGCTTTCAGCTTCCAGTTCGGCTGCGGAAAACTACTCGACTCATCTGGGTTACTTGTTTGGTCTCTTGTGAGTAATTTCTACAATAAATACTTACTTTCAGTAAGTGTGCCATTTATTGTTGCAGCATCATTTTGGCATCAGAAGTGGGATTGTAAGGTATACCAGTTACATGTTTTATATTATAATATTTGAAAAATTGTTCCAATTTACTGGAGACATATGCTCGAGCATTGTCAGTTTTTATTGTTTTAGGTATACCCATAACAGCCATCACCTCTAAGAGGTGTGTAATAACAGAATCAGCTTTTTCAGAGCTGAGGGCAGTAGCCCATTGGAAGCCTGAGAATGTGTCTATGGTATGGTGTACATATTTCAAACTGCCAAATTCTGGGAAGTGAAATACATCCATTTGCAAAAGTTCATTTCTGTGAATACCTTTAGGATTACAACCTGCTGGTAATGGAGTTTGATTGTAGAATGAGCAACTGGGGCAATTTCTTACTATTTCTTTGGCTTGTTGCCAGGTGATAGAAAAATCCTTCTTTAAGCCTTTGCTGTTAACATGGTGTTTCTTATGAAATTCTGAAGCTTCCAACACATTACCTACTTATAAACGATCAATTTCATCATTGCCTTGTGCCAGAGGACCTGGCAGACCTGTATGGGATCTGATGTGTGTTATATATATAGGATGAGTCCTGTTTCTGATGGTTTCCTGTAATTGTAAAAACAATGAGGTTAATTCTGTACTATCAGGAACAAATTCTGCAGTCTCAATGTGCAAGACAACTCTTTCTGCATACTGAGAATGCGTGACTATATTGAAAGGCTCTGTAAAGTCTTTAAGTACCATGAGAATGGCATATAACTCTGCCTTTTGTACAGAGTTGTAAGTGCTTTGAACTACTTTACTTATATTTCCTGATTTATACCCTGCCTTACCTGATTTGTTTGCATCCGTGTAGAAGGTAAGAACTCCAGAAATAGGTGTTTGCCTCACAATACACGGAAGAATCCAAATTGTTTTCTTTATGAATTTGATTCTCTCTGTTTTGGGATAGTTATTACTAATAGTTCCCAAAAAGTCACTGCAAGCTATTTGCCAATACTCATTATCCTTCCATAACGAGGAAATTTCCTCATTCGTTAAAGGTACAATAATTTCAGCTGGGTCTTTCCAGGGCAATCCAGCATCTGAAACAGATAGGACGATACAGCTATACAGACCACAAAAACAAGGACTTAGCCAGGTTTTGAGTTTTGTCATGATCCCCATGGTATGGACAGGACCCCTATCAGCAGGAAGCAGTTTGAAATGAACAACATCCAAATTCCCAAATACTGTTAATAAATCTTTGTTTTCATTTAAATGGGGTTGTTTATAATTGGTTAATGATCACAGCCAAACTCTTTTTAATGGTAAAAAAGGGGATTATGGTATGGAAATGAATACTTGGTATGGGTATGGTTTTCATTTATTGATACAAATTCAAGGTCAATTTTGTGATGTGTATATTTCTCCTCATGATTAAGTATTGTGCTTATACTGATCTTTTAAAACATAATGCATAATTAAATACAGACTATAGATAGTTACTTAAAATAGTCAGAACTTATAGTTAGGTTAGTTACGTTTTCTAGATATACAGAGATATATTTGAGATAGGTAGACAGTCTTCAAACCTTTCAAAGACCTTCAGAAAATGGCATTTAAAATGGTTTATGGTTTTTCTTGACAATGAGAAATGTCTGCTCCTGGAAGCACCAATTATGTTTGAGAGGAAGATGGCCATCAAAGAAACTCGTTATGGAGTTTGCTTTCAATATGGCAAGATTTGCCATTTGGGCAAGCAACTGCTCTTGCCTGGAATGCTTGACTGTTGCTGTATAAAATGGACATGTAGGACCCACAGGAAAGTGACTGCTAAACTCAAATAGTCCTTCAGGGTTCCTGCTTCATGGAAGAGTCTACGAGACTTTCTGCAGGACACAGAGAAATGAATGACAGACTGCCAATGCAGATGGACAGTTCGAAATTTCCTGCTCTGCTGAGAAGTCTTCTGGACACATTGTGGCCTCATGGGCTGAAGATGAATGCCCCAATGTTCCAGAGGAACTTTGGGTGACTGTCCAGGTAGCGAGATATCTCTGTCAATACTAGTGTTTATACATTATCCTTCTGTGGCCTTTGATGGAGTTAAAGACAGATAGTTATAATCAAAGTTTTCTTTGGTTATGATAAAAGATAAGCTACATATAAGACTTTAGACTCACAAAGATAAGATAGATGATACTTTCTTTAAATCTTACTAAATGTTAATGGACAAAATATTGTAACTGTATTCTTACTTGATAACTGTTCTGTTATATATAATTTTACTATGTTAAAGTTAAAACGTTTCTTTTTATTTAGACAGAAAAGAGGAGATGATGGGAGATGTAATTCTGTAAATCTGTCTCTTATTGGTTGTTGAATAGCATACTGTTAGCTAATAGGGAAGCAAGATAGGTGGGACTAGGAGTCAAGGAGGATTCTGGGAAAGAGAGGCAGAGTCAGTCACGATGTAGCCTCCAGAGAAGTAAGAAGTCCGGACCCTTTTCTC